CTGTCAATCCCTATTGCTCACATAATAAATCTATCAATCACCACTAATACCGTACCGGAGGGGTTCAAGGAGGCCAGAGTTACTCCTATCTTCAAGAAAAATAGTAGGTCTGATGTAAGCAACTATAGGCCTGTTAGTATACTCAGTATAATATCTAAAATTCTAGAGAGGGCGGTGTATTCTCAAGTAGTTAAGTACCTTAATGACAACAACATTCTCCATAGCTATCAATCGGGCTTTAGAAGATCCTACGCAACCGACACCTCCCTTATTAATCTGATGGATTACCTGAGAACTGAAATGTCAAAGGGGAACCTCATAGGTATGGTAACCTTAGACCTGCAAAAGGCCTTCGATACTGTCAACCACAATATATTATGTAATAAACTTCAAGTATCGGTATTGGTTCTGTAGACTGGTTTAAGTCCTCCCTTAGCAACAGGAGACAAAATAGTCAAATCAACAAAACAGAATCAGAACCCTGCCGATAACATGTGGAGTTCCCCAAGGTAGTATTCTGGGTCCCTTATTATTCTTATGTTATGTCAATGATATGCCTATCAGTGTCAAGTGCAAACTCCTACTGTATGCAGATGACAGTGCTCTGTTAGTGTCAGGTAAAGACCCACAAGATATTGCTAATATTTTTAACACTGGAACTGGCGTCCTGCAGCAAATGGTTAGTAGACAACAAACTATCATTACACCTAGGGAAAACTGAAGCCATTCTCTTTGGCACGGGAAAAATAAACTGAGAAGGGTAAATAATTTTAATGTTCAATGTAATGGGGAGCCCATCACTTTGGTTTCATCAGTTTAAAATATTTGGGAATCCCCTTTGACCATGCATGTCAGGGAATTGATAGGGAACAGTGTAGTAAAGAAAGCGAATGCCAGACTGAAGTTCCTGTATAGACAAGCACAGTGTCTACCTACTGAGGCTCGCATGACCCTATGTCTAGCCCTTATACAATGCCATATGGATTACGCTTGCTCTTCTTGGTACTCTGCCTTGACAAAAAAACTGAAAGATAGACTGCAAATCACCCAGAACAAAATCGTAAGATTCATCCTGGGGCTGGGACCAAGAGAACATGTAGGCCAGGATGAATTACAGCAGTTGGATATGCTGAATGTTGAAGACAGAGTAAAACAACTGAAGCTAAATCATGTTTATAACATTGCTCAAAAACAATGTCCAGAATATCTTGCTGTCAATTTTGTCAAGGTTGGGAACCGCAGCAATCATAGTACTAGGGGGAGAGAGCACAACTTTATAGTACCCACAGTCAGTGGCCAGGCTTCAAACACCTTTTATTGTATAGCAATAAAGGAATGGAACAGACTGCCTGCACATGTCAAAGCCAGTCATAGCATGAACCAGTTCAAGAAGAGTGCCAAAAAGTGTCTGATGAATGTAGCTACAGAAAGGGAGGGGAATGATTTTCTATTTTTTAGCTAACATACGTGTAAATTTTACCGTATTCCTAGTAATGACCCTCGTATTGTAGATAGTCTTAATGACCTTCGTGTAGTAGATAGTCTCTTTAGTATGATAATAAGATGTTATCTTCATTGTAGAATAATAAGAAAATATTATAACCTTTATATTATAATAATAATGTAAAAGGACCCCAATGGAAATAAGTCACTCTGTCTGACTTTTTTGGGTTATCCTAGGTTCTCTACACATATGCTGCTATGTATGATAATTCTATGTAACTGTATTTGTGTATACCTGAATAAACTTACTTACTTACTTATAACAATACTCTTTTTCCAGACTGAGGGACTGACCACCTCAAAACTTCAAGGGTGATGGACTGATTACATCGTCTTCAAGTCCCTTCTGCTTCTATCAACTTTTCTGTACTCGACTGAAGAAGCCTACTGTGTAGGCGAAACGTTTCGAAATAAAGATACCTAACTGTTGCACATGTGTCTCACCTAACACACTCGTTGATAGAGTGGGCAGTCTAACAGAATGTGGCTAGCCGATACTGGAACCTGACAATTCGCACAGAGGAACAGGGTGCCTCTCCATGAGATACCCATTAGTAAGACGAGTGTGGCCAATGCGAAGGCAGGAGAGAGTAGTCTCCCAACTCGACACTGATGACAAGACGACGGCCAGTAACCTATATTCGGTTTAATAGAATGAAGTTTGTTATCGAGCAGGTCAGACCAACGTTGTTGCCAACGGGTGTGAAGGTGGGTAGCTAATTACAGCAAAATAGTCTGTAAATGGAACACCTCTATATGAAATTGGAAGATCATGTACTGCTGACCGCAAAGTAGTGTCTGCCTGTTCATTGCTCTGTACATCATCATGACCAGGGACTCAACAAACAATATATTTATGCTTGAACATTAAAATGGTATAAAATACCGACAGATTGTTAGGTAAGACACATATGCAACAGTTAGGTATCTTTATTTCGATCAGGTCTGTACCAAGATACCCTTGTGTTGCAGTGTCTGACAGATTGAACATTAAAATGGTATAAAATACCGACAGATTGTTAGGTAAGACACATATGCAACAGTTAGGTATCTTTATTTCGACAGGTCTGTACCAAGATACCCTTGTGTTGCAGTGTCTGACAGATTGAACATTAAAATGGTATAAAATACCGACAGATTGTTAGGTAAGACACATATGCAACAGTTAGGTATCTTTATTTCGAGAATAAAGATACCTAACTGTTGCATATGTGTCTTACCTAACAATCTTTATGCTTGGTAGAGATACGGCGTAACCAAAGTTGGTTACGGAGAACTAGGGGGTGAAGTGTATCAGATTTTCGTATAGCCTGTAAAGCACTAAAGGAGTCTGAAACAACCACAAATGATGACACAGGCAGAGATGCAATACGGATAAGTGCTGCAAGAATGGCATACAATTCAGCAGTAAAAATGCTAGCCGAGGATAGTAAATGCCCTCGCACGACACTGTCCGGAAACACTGCTGCAAATCTGACGCCGTCAGAAGACTTAGAGCCATTTGTGTACACTGCGATGGCATGAGAATAAGAGCGGAAGTGGTTGAGAAAAAGAGAGCGGGAAGCTACCGTAGGCAGTTGGGCTTTCGAGCAAGGGAGTGAGAAAGAACAGACTCAGATTTAGATTTAGATTTTGCCACCGAAGTGGCTAGTTTATTGTGCACCCCATATCCATCCTGTGGACGGTAGCGCGAGAGCATATGGATACACAAAAGGCCTAGGAACTAGGCCCCAAAGGGTTAACAGGAATACATATGGATTTATATCTACATATCTATAGTTCACTTATCTGTTACAAGCAAATTTAGGAAATTTGCTTAGTATATCTAGTATCTTATTTTCATTAATAAGATATCTTGACATGTCACATAGGTTATTATACTGTCTGTCTCTGTATTCCTCAATGAGTGGACAATTAAGCACAAAGTGTTCAAGAGAGTGACCATATGCCTGATCACATAATTTACATTTAGTTTGATCATCATCTGTGTGTCTCCCAAACTGCCAGAAGTACTTGTAACCAAGCCTAAGCCTGGCCACTACAACATCAGTCAGTCTGTTCACATTGCAAGTTGCTCCATAAACATACTTATCTACGTTCATGTTATCATAGTGGGTTATAGATCTACTCAGGCTTCTAACTGCATTCCTATAACAATCATTTTCATTATTTACTTCTCTCCTAATATTATTCCTAATGCTAGACACAGTTATACCAAAGTTATATTCTACATTCTCCTTCTGGGTACTCTTCTTGGCTAACATATCAACTTTATCATGAAGGAGTAATCCAATGTGTGATGGGATCCATAGCAATTGTACATTGCTCAAACAGCTGGAACTTCCCAGGGATGCAGGGAAAAGTGAGATGCTACATGAACATAAAGGTGATAACTGAAGGGAAGACTAGCGTATGTAGGCGAAGAGAAAAGGGATGGAGCAAACAGGGGCGACGAACAAATAAAGAATGTCTAATAACATCGGTGACTATTCTGTATATGGAAGGATTGCAGATATCATGAGAGCGTACATAGTAGCGAAGGCAATGGGCATCACGGCTATCAGACAAGGATGGAACATTCGCTTCTGCATAGAGGCTCTCAACAGAGGAAGAGGAAAAAGCACCAAGGCATAAACGTAATCCTTGGTGATGGATGGGGTTAAGGCTAGAGAGAGTAGCAGGAGAGGCCGCTGAATAGATCTGGTCACCATAATCGAGTTTCGACAAAATGAGGGCTGAATGTAGGCGAAGGAGAGTTCGACGATCAGCTCCCCATGAAAGATGAGCAAGGGTTTTAAGGCTACTGTCAAGGTGGATACCTGTGGATACCTGTGTTTGGCTCCGGACCTCAGCGTATGAGCCGAGTGCAGTAGTGATCGAACTACGGGACACCCAAGTGATATTGATAAAGATAAATTTCTTTTAGCATGATACAGTGTTTGTACAAAGGAGAATGACATTTGGGTGTACATGCCGAAAGCCCCTTTATATGCAGAGCATTTCGGGCAAACGTAAGCCTAACTTCAGACTAATAAAGCAAACTGTAATCAAACTGGAACCTATACGTGGTTGCAGGGGTCGAGCCGCAGCTCCTGGCCCTGAGTCTAACTTGCCGAAGTTTAGGCAAAGAGGTTCACCTGACCTAAATGAGAACATTTTGTTTATGTTTTTCTTGTACGCATTAAATTTTTTTTTCATAATACCAGCCCTGATTCGGGCAACGTATTTTTTTACTCGGACACCTGGGAAATAAGGTTTCATAAGACGCAAACTTTGGTAGCCGTTAACAACCCCTACATCAATAACAGTACATTAATTTGGTAACAAACTTGAGTTTTCCTTTGATCATAGATAAATAACCCGTACATAGGAGAATGAAACTTGTGACGCCGTTTCTGTCAAGAAAGACCGAAACGTCGCCATAAGCTTCAGTCACCTACATGCAGGTTATTTGTGTATTCATGCAAGGTATTGTGCCTTTTTATTCTTAGAGCGTATTGTGCTGTGCAGGTATTGAGCTGTATAGTCCTTGTGGCTTAGCGCTTCTTTTCTGATTGTAATAATAATGTGCAGGTATTGTAATATATATGTAATATATATTGTAATATATATGACAAATATTCATAAAGATTAACTAAGCCCACTGGAGTCTGGTAAAGACCCACTGTGACCTATGGTCTTGCTCTTGTTTTACTACTAATTTTCACAGCATAGTTATATACCATACTCCTTGCTATCATTATCATTATTATTAAGCCAGCCCGTAATGCTATGCATAGTATAAGTGGCTTTGGCATGCTGCTCTTATCTGTATTTTTTTGTACCTCTGTATGTTTACCTGGAGAGAGTTCCGGGGGTCAACGCCCCCGCGGCCCGGTCTGAGACCAGGCCTCCTGGTGGATCAGAGCCTGATCAACCAGGCTGTTGCTGCTGGCTGCACGCAAACCAACATACGAGCCACAGCCCGGCTGATCCGGAACTGACTTTAGGTGCTTGTCCAGTGCCAGCTTGAAGACTGCCAGGGGTCTGTTGGTAATCCCCCTTATGTGTGCTGGGAGGCAGTTGAACAGTCTCGGGCCCCTGACACTTATTGTATGGTCTCTTAACGTGCTAGTGACACCCCTGCTTTTCATTGGGGGGATGGTGCATCGTCTGCCAAGTCTTTTGCTTTCGTAGTGGGTGATTTTCGTGTGCAAGTTCGGTACTAGTCCCTCTAGGATTTTCCAGGTGTATATAATCATGTATCTCTCCCTCCTGTGTTCCAGGGAATACAGGTTTAGGAACCTCAAGCGCTCCCAATAATTGAGGTGTTTTATCTCCGTTATGCGCGCCGTGAAAGTTCTCTGTACATTTTCTAGGTCGGCAATTTCACCTGCCTTGAAAGGTGCTGTTAGTGTGCAGCAATATTCCAGCCTAGATAGAACAAGTGACCTGAAGAGTGTCATCATGGGCTTGGCCTCCCTAGTTTTGAAGGTTCTCATTATCCATCCTGTCATTTTTCTAGCAGATGCGATTGATACAATGTTATGGTCCTTGAAGGTGAGATCCTCCGACATGATCACTCCCAAATTGTTAATAAATAAATAAATAAATAAATAAATAAATAAATCACTGCAGCCATGCTCACCTTTTCATTTGTTTATGTTGCAGACTTTTTAAAAGTGCATTACAAACCATCCAGAAATATGACTTACCTTCGTAGTGTTTTTTTTATATAATAGTAGTTATATCAAATTTCGAGTAAGCACAATGAAGTAGTCATTTTCATTTGTGTGTCCTTGGACATACTGATGTTGAGGGTAATGAACTTGCAGACTGCCACTCAGTGCCATGTTTATGATCTGACAATCTCCCATGGGTCTCCTTTTCAGCTTATTTTCTGTTACACTGGTAACAGTCTTGGCATAAGTTAGAAAACAACAAGTTGTTATAAATTGATGGAAAACAGTTCTTAGGCACCAGGCCTAAGGCCTGTATACCTTCTACATGTACCTTTAAAAATAAAGATATTATTATCATTATTGTTATATTATATTCTCATTGCTGAAATGGAAAACCACACTTACTCATTAATTATAAATCAGACACAAACAATATGTAAACAAATTATTATTATTATTATTATAATCAAGGGGGAAGCGCTAAACCCGGAGGATTATACAGCGCCTGGGGGAGGGGATGTGGAAGGCATTCAGGCTTAATTCGGGGAACTGGAGCACAGATCCAATTCCCTAAATCAAGAGCCCCTCACCAACATCAAGGAACCTTCCTTGAGGGGATATGTAAACAAAATAATTTGTAAAGATGCTTGGCATTTCTCTGCTAGGACTGCCAGGTGGCTTTAACAGTTAACTATATATAATAATAACAAACTGTCCTATCTGTGATCACACACAATTCAGTCTTGACATCTTCAGTGCCTGATACACTAACTGCCCTTCTTGCAGACTCCTATGACCTCTTTTTTTAGCTGACTCTAACCTATTGTACCAACTACTATTTTAATTTTGCACCATCATTAACCCTAAGCTTTACAAACCCCATATCTTTACAATGTAAACCACCTCTGTGCTGTATGACCCATATAGGTTTGGTGCTTATTTTCAAATACGTATAGTAAAAATCTAGACAACTTTGAGCATAAGCATTCTCTCTCTCTCTCTCTCTCTCTCTCTCTCTCTCTGTCTCTTAGTCTCTCTCTGAACAAATACACTGTACAGAATAATATAAATATTAAGAGAGTATAATGCATAGAGTGATTACTATAATGCTGGGACTCCCTGATCCATTAGTTGATGTATAGCTCGTGTAATTTTTGGTAAAAAATTTTTCTGATGTGTAGAGTAATATATTATTTATGAGTAGCAGAGCTTTGTGATCAACAGATACTCCCTCTCGTGCACTAAATGTAGCCCCTAACGTGCCTTTGTGTGGGTAACTCCAGACTTGGGGCAAATTTTTGTTGTCTCCAGATAGTTGTCTTCCCTTGCCTGTTAGTGCTGTCTCAACCAGCCAGATATATATTTGAAAATTCCCTTTTTCCTTGTCCCTGGTTCCATTCTGCTTGCACAAATCTCTTGAGAGTTACTTCACTGGTTGGGTGAGAGTCACCTGTTATTACCTTTTTTCCTGGATAGGGCTGCCTATGATTTTCCTGTCCATCATGCAATTTTGTTCCTCACCTATGCTTTCCTCAAGGCTTTGGGACAAGTCATTGAACTAAATTTAGTAGTGCCTTCAACTTCTTGCCCACAGCATCTTTGACTAGGATCCTCTGGATTCCTGTTCCATCTCCTAAAGGGGCTACCACACCCACTACTACTACTACTACTACTACCACCTCCTGCCTATGTATACCCATCCTGCTCTCCTTTTCATTAGTGTGACTTTGTAAATGGTCCAATTCAGACCGAAACATCGTCATAAGCTCCTCTCTTCTATGTATGGGTTATTTGTGTATTGTACCACTACTGTCCTCTCATGATTGAGAACTTTTTAATGGCTGGGAGCTGGGAGGTAGAGCTCAATACGGCTTGTGCTATAGGGGCTTTCAACAACCCCAGTACCACTAACATGTTTACTCTTACAGTAATTTTCAACAGCGGGGCAGAAGGAAGATGCAAAACAATCTTCAAAAATAGGACTAGTTGCTCATGTCCTCTTTTATTTGACATCCATAACAGAACAAGATAAAATTTGTAACAAACACACAAACTTTATTTCTATAAAGTGGAATACAGTATATTATACAATTAGGGTGAGTGACATATATTACTACTTTATAGAAAGATCCTTGATATGCAAAGTATAGTTTTTAACCCTTTGACTGTTTCGGTCGTATATATACGTCTTACGAGCCACTGTGTTTGACGTATACAGTGGACCCCCGGTTCACGATACTAATCCGTTCCTGAGAGCTCATCATAAACCAAAAATATCGGAAAGCGAATCAATTTTCCCCATAAGAAATAATGGAAATCAAATTAATCCGTGCAAGACACCCAAAAGTATGAAAAAAAAACTTTTACCACGTGAAATATTAAGTTTAATGCAATAGAATAGTAATTACAATAACAACAATAACAATAAATAACAATAAATAACGAAAGAATAATTGACACTTGCCTTTAATGAAGATCTGGCGATGATTGATGGGATGGGAGGAGGGGAGAGTGTGGATGGTGTTAGCATTTAGAAGGGGAATCCCCCTCCATTAAGACTTGAGGTAGCAAGTCCTTTTCTGGGGTTACTTCCCTTCTTCTTTTAATGCCACTAGGACCAGGTTGAGAGTCACTGGACTTCTGTCGCACAACATAACTGGCAGCCTCACCATGCCTAATCACACTATGTATACCACTACAATTCTTAAATCTTTCAAACCTTTGCTGGCCTTAAATTCACTCACATCACCACTAGTTGCAGGCAATTTTTTTACCAAATCGTCATGCTTGAGAGATGCTATCTCCTGCTATCTGTTTTTCATTTATCCACACCAATAACAGTCTCTCAACATTTTCTAACACTTGCGGTCGCTGTTTCGTAATCACAGTTGCACCTTTTGCAAGAACAGCTTCCTAGATTGCCGTTTTCTTGCTCACTATAGTAGAGATGGTTGACTGGGGTTTACTATACAACCTGACCAGCTCCGACACATGCACTCCACTTTCGTACTTTGCAGTTATCTCTTTCTTCATTTCAACAGTCATTAGCACCCTTGGTCTCGAAGGGTTGGCACTGGGAGCTTTCTTGGGGCCCTTGGTGACTTATTTTGCAGAAACAAGCACCAAAAACAGTGATAATATGGAATGTACCGAATGTATCCTTAGATGCGCGCACACTGGCTGGCTTGTAAACACTGGCACACACCGGGCAGTTCAGGCCACACATGGACACGTCTCGTACGAACCACATCGCATACCGGGTTTTGTATCGGGAAGCGAGGCAAATTTTCTGCGATATAATGCATCGGTTACCGGATTTATCGGATACCGATAGCATTGCAAACCGGGGGTCCACTGTACATACTACTCATAAATTCTAGCAGCTTCAAATCAGGCAGGAGAAAGCTGGTAGGCCCACATGTGAGAGAATGGGTCTGTATGGTCAGTGTGCACCATATAAAAAAAAATCCTGCAGCACGCAGTGCATAATGAGAAAAGAAAAACTCTGACTGTTTTTTTTAATTAAAATGCCGACTTTGTGGTCTATTTTCGTATAGTATTTATGGTTGTACATGTATTCTCGTTTTCTTGGTCTCATTTGTTAGAATGGAAAACATATAGAAATAGAGATGATTTTGATTGGTTTTACTATGAAAGAACCTTGAAATGTAGCTCAAAGTAGGGGAAATGTTTGATTTTTGCCAATGTTAAAAAGTAAACATATGATGTCATTATCCAATAAATGTCCAACTAGCCATTCAATTAACAATTACAGTGGACCCTCGCCTAACGCTATTAATCCGTTCTGAGAGCTCAACGTTAGGCGAAATTATCGTTAGGCGAATTAATTTTCCCCATAAATAATGGAAATAAAATTAATCCGTTCCTGACACCCCAAAGTATAAACAAAAA